GCCAGTTTCGTGTTTCGCCGGATTTAGGTTTCGTGTTTCGCCATTTGCGAAAAACAGTTTCGCCTAACAACTATAGGCGGGACTAACAAACATTTGACAAAGACCAATTTGACCGGGTTAACCGGGTCAAAACCATTCGACCAATAATCAGCAAATTTATGTCCTATACAAACTTTGCCTGCTTTTTATTAAATTGGTTAAAAAAAATTTTTTTTCTTATAGTATTAAAATATAATTAACGAATTAATTTCGTATTTTATATGCTTATAAAAATGTTTTGCTTAAAAATAACCTATATAAAAACTTAATTATTAATGTTTAGCTTAATTAATGTTTGACCTAGTAATTTGCCAAGGGATACTTGAACGATCGTGACCCATCTATATCACATTTTATATAATCACTTTATGTAGTACAAAGCATATTATGTAGGTAGTACAGACCCAGTCATGTTACACGAATTTTATTAATGTGACTCTATAAGATGTGATGTAAATGGGTTCACGATTCTTCAATCTACTTATTTGCCAATTTGACTTAAAAATGTGACTTAAAATAACTCATAAAAAAACTTAACTATAAATTAAATAAATTAATTTATATCAAAAATTGTAATATAGAGAAATTTTTCAATTTGAAGGAGTTATTCCTTCTAACACATCGTTAGACTCTAAACCTTGCTCGTTATGACTTGTTTGAGAAAAATAGCTAGTGCCCGCATTAAATACGTCTTCAAACGGTTGGTCAGTTGAAGTTGTTGGAAATGTTGGCGTAGGAGTTGTAGGTACCGGTGAACATGGTGCTAATATCGTAACAACCTCATCCACAATACTTTGGTATTGCTCCCTGACTTTCTCTTGATCCTTGTCAGGGATTGTGAACCACAAAAGTTCACCATATCGGGTAACAATAGAAGCATCAAAATCACCAAGGCTTTTAGCCTTGGCTTCAGCAACAAGGCAGTGTACATTATCTACAGTAGGATGTATACTTTTATCTTTAAAGATTTGTGCTAGGTCATCATTCTCTTGAGGAAAAATTGTGGGACCTTTTTCGGTTAGGATTAAGATTCCACGATTAAACTCTTCAGGAGTCATTTGCAATCAAAAGTGAAGATCCTATTGAGAACAGAGGTTAATTTTAATGGTATAAATAGAAAATCAGAAATAATATGGATATAAAATTCTCCAATTGTATTTATTTATCAATTTAACGTAAAAAAAAGGTTTAAACAAATTTGGAATTAAAAGGCGTAACTTAAGTTTACATAATCTGAAAAAAAAAAAAATTTGCTTTATTTTTACGAGTTATGAAACGCGTAAAAATTACGCGAAAATTCCATTGGGTGGTGAAACAAACAAGATATTTGTTTCCCATACAACTATAACAAATATATTATTATTTGCAAAGACAGCTCTCAATGATAGCAATAATAAAGATTAACAGATATGGTATCCGTTTTTACCGTAACAAAAACATATCTAACAATATCCAAAGTCCTCCCAAGTCTGCTAAAATAGGAAACTTACTAAAATAAATGTTATTTGCCAAGGTAAGAGCGGGCGTTATCATTTTGACCGGGCTAGGCTATTTAGAACACAAATTCAACTTACATATATTAAAATATAATATATACTATATGCATATAATAAATCCTTAATATAATACTATTCGGTTTTAGAGTCTTTAGGCATTTCCCTGTATTACTAGACAACATAAATATTATGAACTAAACCGTTTTATCGCGGTATGTTTAGTGTAACCTTGATGCACTTTTTTTGAGATAGATCTTTTCATCGGATCTGATTTTCAGCTAAAAGAATTAAGCATTGTGTGATTTTATCATTGAAATATTTTTTACTGGAAACAAAGCACTCAAATTTAATTGGTGCAATATCACGACATATTTTTTAAAATAAGAAATACAGCTATTTATTTTTCTCATATTGATTATTAATAAAGCCTTTTAAATAGGATTGTCATGTCAACGAAACCGAATCTAGTAATTCCTTTAATAAATTTATATCATAGTTCCAGCTAATATTTTTTACCTAAAGTGAGTGTTTTTACCTTTTTAACCAAAAATATTTCGAGAATATTTTTAATGAAATCTATTGAAAGTGTTGTAAAAGTTAACATAATATTGAAATTGAAATTTATAGATAAGTTTATATTAAAAAGGCTGATTTTTTTAAAAAATTAATGGAACTTTTAATGTATTAGTAAATATACGCGGAGTAAGCTTATAAAGATGTATCGATTTGCTTAGTAAACTTGCGTCAATATCCTCAATTTTTATGATTTCTCCACCAATTAACAAGATTCCTCTGGACGCCGTTGGAGTTCATTTATTTATTTATTTACTTATTTAAACTTTACCTAAATTGGCCTTCCAGATAGGTCCTTTCAGATTCACATCGCAGTGGAATTGTGCTTAAAATAATTACTCAAATTAGCACCCTAAAATTGATTAAATTTTGGGAAAGGTCAAATTCCACAAATCAGCCGCAATGAAGGGTATTATAACTTTGATGTATCAAAATACATTCGGTAGACAACTTTAATGAAGCAACCAGACAAAACAAGCGGGTGGATTTTTAAAAATAATCACGAGTTGGTCAATTATAGTATTTGCACGACCTCTTATTGCAACTTAGCAGTTAATCAAGATAATCATAATGACACTTTATGAAACAACAACTGACATATTTTATAATATGATACGTCCTATTTTTATAATAAAAATGATACATCATGCTAGGAGAGAAAAATTATGTACGTAAATTACAGAAGTCTAAATCTCTTAGTGCGCAATAATTGCATCAATTTAATAGTACTATACAGTTACTGCACATTAAGATATTTATTTTTCTGTATAGTATTTGTGAAGAGAAAAACTTAGAGTCCTTTTGAGCTGAGATCGAAATTTAGTCATACTGAGTTTGAGAAATTTATATAATACACGGTTGATAAAGCATACACCCGGATTTTACTGCATAACACGTGAAAAAATTGTAAAAAAGATAGTAAATCACGGTTTAAACTTCCTTTCATCACCATATAATCGGAGATGTTTTATCTATGGGATGGTAAGTGATTGACGTTAGTGTTGTCAATAAAATAGGACTCTAGCATCACAAACCCAAAAAATGTCGTTATTAGTGTTAGGGTTTGAGCTGATTTTTGTCTTTATTATGTTACACCTGATCTAGGATGATAAACCCCAAATAGAAAAAAACCTATTTGAACTAATAGCACGTGGGTAGAATTAAGATATCAAAACCCTTCAAGGAAATTTTTATTAGAACATAAAAGGTAATTGTCTTATGATCTATATAAGAAATTTCCTTCTTGGGCTTGTACCATTTATCGGGATTTGGCAATTTTACTCTTTTGGCGATTTAGGACATACTGTATATGTCGTACCTCGGTTATTAGAAGCCAATATTAGTAGTACCACTGGAACTTTTACTATTAAAAAATTCCGCTGCAAAACTCCAAAACTCTAATGGAAGCAAATATCGAAACATTGATCTGTATAGTCAATATTTAACCTACCATCTATGTATTTATATACGTATTTATGTTGTAAATGGAACCGGAGTTGGAATTTCCTAGTTAAACTAAGGTTAGGGTAAGGGTATTCATATGATAAAATCAACCCCAAAATGCTGGTTTTATATAAAAATCTCGAATCCACTTACAACATTTATATACATATTTATATACGTATGTATGTAAGTGTACAAAAATGCAATTTTGATTAAATGTTAATGCAAACATTTAATATACAGTAAATAATCAATCCAATCGAGTGAATACAGTATAACCGGTAAGCTTACTGATGTTAGTTTACATAGCGTAGTTATCATTCGCTTCTTAAATAGTCCTGTCATCTACACGATATAAAATGACACATAATATTATAAATTAATGATAACATTTACATCAAGAATATTAAACAAAATGCAGCATAAATGTAACTTTACATGCGAAACCTTTCACTTGAATGAATCTAAAGCCTCTACTAATCAACATAATTTCTAACAGGTGTTTATTAAATTACCTTAATAACACCTTAAACAGACAAAAAAAACAATACACAAATAAAAAAAGAAGGTTTGATATATTTCGATAAAAAGCTCGTATATAGTGTATAGTTGTATAATCGGTACAGCAATTACAAGCTAAAGATAATCCTAATCTAAGCTACTACTACTTCTGGTCAAACCATATACGGTATTTACCAAAATTTTATCATTATTTAATAGAATAGATTCGAGCAAATCTAATAATAATTAAATTTGTTGATTTTAAACATCACGTGAGTCAACTTTTGTTTTTTTTATTGGTTGAAAGTCAATGTATTTGGGTGGGTTACACGAATTTATACAACATTGGTTCCAAACCTTTGTGTAACAAACATTTACAATTTTATTGACCCAGACTTTCCCAGACTTAAATTTTCAAGATACATATTTAAAATTCTGTGTAATAGTCTTTCTTTGGCTTCTATTATGGGATAACGATAAATCTCGGATCAATATCAATCGTCTCCAAGTGTCGCATAATGATTTATACAGGCGATAAACTAAAAATTAAATCATTAAATAATTGTTTAAATCAATCTTTTTCTAATCCAAACTTTAGAACCTTGGTTTAATGCAGGTAAGAATTGAAACGTTTAACCGACATAAATTATTCCATAGTCACTGACTAAAATTATCTCAATGTCGACTGGATTAAATGGTTAACATGGTTAAACGATTAGAAAAATTTAAGCAATTCCGATCCCTAATATCATCAATTAACCGAATTAAGGAATAATTAGTACCACATTTTCCGGTCTTAAATCTATATGTAGTTCCCTTAATACATTCAAGATACGTAATATAAATTAATTAATTAATAAAAATATTTTGTAAATAATTGATAAAATTAGGATTAAAAATAAATATTTAACCGTTTTTTTTTTCTCTAATCTTTTGTCCTAACAAATTCTTGCCACACCATAATAATAAGAATTTATTATATTTAATTTATATTAACTTTGTTAACTTGTCTATCAAAAATTTTAAAATTCATATCTTGATTTTCCCATTTTACGAAACAAAACAAAAAAGCAATTCCTATATAGATAATAAGGTTACCCATGTGATAATGTTGGTTACCATTTTTAACCGGGTTTGGTACGTACGCTTAGTACCAAAGTTCCTTATCTGATTCCGCAATTACAAATCCCTCAGAAGGGTGATTTAGGCATTTTCGGTAACATGAAATTTGTGTTTTACTGTATCATCGCTTTAAAAGTTATTATGTCTTTTAATCCTTATGTAATTTTAATCGGTGCCGTAGCACTCACTCTTATATTAACCTTGATCCTCAATATCTTAAAGCTTTTCTTGTTATGTATATATTTGTGCTTTTATTAACAAGTGAATAGTTTAAAGCACCGTTAATATTTATATAGTCTTGCTTCTTAAAACAAATTGAAAATAATGTTGATCAGAGAAGTCACTTAGATTCATTTTATGAGGATCAAGCAGAAGGTTTGCACGCATAAAGAGTCGCATATATGTTGTCACCCAAATGAGCTCTAGATAAAATATATGAATTTTTTCTCTCTAAAAAAAAAAAAAAAGTATACTATAAATTAGTATATAGTTTTTGGAGTGAAAACATTGTCAGAAAAAATGTCGCATTTTATTCCATATTTTTAATGTTACTCGTGGTCGTCTATTACATGAAAGACTTACAATGCTAAAAAATTACGGCAGAGCAATGATATTGAGGGTAGAACTGGTAATCATATGAGTGCCGCCAAGGGAAAACCAGACTTCGTGAATTTAGATTTATTTTCTAGATTCAGTCCTGATCAGAGACATACCTATTTGAAAGCCCAAAGTCGGATTTCTTTGTGGCACTCATTTTAACTACACATCGGTATGCTTCGAATCAGGGTTGAACTTAAATTCATTAATTCTGGTTTTCCCTTGGCAGCACTCATATATTAAAGGCTTCTTTATATATGATCAAAGGGTGTTTTTATCGAAGCCCTTTTTTCCTTTTAGGTCGGAAGATTGAAAATATTAACGAT